TTTGAACTGAAAACTAGTTTTTAGACAATCTAGGGACAAAAACATGATAATTAAAAAAAATTTAAAACTATAGTATTTTAACTAGATTAATTTACCAAAGTCTCAAGGGGAGGGAGGGGGGGCAAATTGGCAATTGGATCTGCCTCTGAAACCGCAACGTTGGTTAATAGTTGGTTAGATATTGTGGCACTAGGGTAATAACTAACGTACACAGTATCAAAATCGAACTACTTTTATTTTACAGTACGTCAATTTTACATCGAAATCCTATATTATTACGTTTGATCGTTAAACCCAAACTAATCATGGTATTTTCAGTAACCCAAACAAACAAGCGTGTATAATCACAGTCTCCGATGCTGTTACTAGACATAATAAGAACGATATACAATCAATGGCATTGCTTATTTCCCTCATACTTATAAATTTGAAAAATATTTCCAAATTCTCATTGAAACCTGTAATTAGGGTGAAATTAGGTCGGTGCGTGCGAAAATGTCAGCCATGGACCTTAGCCTTCACACCACAGTAAACTGGGGCTTCAATGGTTCAGTGGTGGGAATTGAACTCGCATTCACATCGTTTTTGCAGACAGAGAAATCTGTGGAGTGCATTGACAAGAGAAAGTATAATGCAAAAGAGTTAATTAAATAAATTCAACCATTTGCCATATACTGTTAAGTAACAAATAGGTAGTATCTTTGACTATTAATACAACTTCTGTGTCCAATGGTAGTACAGTATTCTAAAGTGATTCTAACTTAGATACAATCAAACTTTATGTAAATAGTTAAGGCCATTAACCAAATAAAATTATAGGCAAATGGCTCGTCAAAATTAAGCTCAGAAAGTGTAGATTTGCCAAAAATTATTGGTATGAACGAATTCTCTTAGGACTCTGTCCCACAACCGATTTCCAAAGGGCCTTACACGTTTTAGAAGTTGACCTTATTCGATTAATTTAGTGAACAACAGCTGATCCATGCAATTTACAATAGTTTGTTTGTTTACATTTTTGTTTACTTATTATTTACTTTTATGTTCTTAAAATAGGTGCGGTAAATTAACACTGATGCTGTTTCTAGCCGTTTGATACTAGTGAGTGCTTTAAGATGTTTGATGATGCATATTACATTAACAAAACATGTATGTTAGTCGTCCAAGAGGGTTTCTCCGATTTTTAATAGGACGTCGTGAAAGAGAGCGAAGAGTTCAGGTACAACCGGACCCACCTCGGCCACCTCAGGACGTAAGGGACGTGAACTATTTCCATCTATCTGATGCGGCCAATTTTAAAAACAATACTCGAAACTCAATTATTGCGATCTAATCTACGATAATAAACCGTCAGCAGAACAATGGTCTAGCAATCCTAGAACATTCACTTCCTGAATCAGAATCATCCCCGCGTGCGCTGCAGACAAAAGCTGCGTAGCCGCGTAGCTACGTACTACGCTATGCATTATTTAGCGCGTAGCTTGCGTAACAGAGCTCGTACGTCACCGTAATGACACGTATCATAGCAGTTCCGGATTCTCCGAGAGATAGCGCTGCAGACCAGTCCGTTTAAAAGTATATACACCCTCGGCCAAAGAACAACCAAACTCACTGGCTATTCACACCTTTCATTACACCAATCTCCACTCAATCCGTCTCCGTTCCTAGAACCAGCGCATAACACATGTTAGGTACAGTCTCCAGTGATTGCTTACCTCTATTACGTAACGGCGTTACGTAATAGAGGTAAGCAATCACTGGAGACTGGACCTAACATGTGTTATGCGCTGGTTCTAGGAACGGAGACGGATTGAGTGGAGATTGGTGTAATGAAAGGTGTGAATAGCCAGTGAGTTTGGTTGTTCTTTGGCCGAGGGTGTATATACTTTTAATACTGTTCTATGAAATTGCGACCATACAAAGTAGTTATTTAAAGCCAAGTATGAATGGAGATGAGTGTAGGATGAGTGGCGCGATCTTGTAGTCTTGTTAGTGACTAAGGCCGACATTCCTTAGACACAGCTGTTAATTAATAGCCCATACAGCTACTGGCAACTAAGGGACCTACAGTTTATAGTGGAATCCGAACCACATTTTTGCCTTGGTAATTACGAATTGGTCTAATTATCAGGATAGTACTGCGGATAGTCGTAGTACTTACTCACCCGTGCGGACGTTAATCCACACTGGGGAGTATCGCATCCACAGTGCATACCTATAAATATCCACAATTCGTGACCTCCTAGTAGCTGGATTACAGGACTAACCTATAAAAACCTCGGGCATTTCGATTGATGCGCATGAAAATGATTTAGTTTCAAAGAGGCATAACTTATTTATTTTCTTGATTTATTTATTGGAAAATATTAAATTGATAAGTTATTGCATGATAAATATGCCACGTAGCAGCAGAGCAGTATGCCTGAAACAAAAATATCGAATCTGTAGGTCCACGATAATAATTGCATTTAGTTTGCAAATTATATGACCGAAATGAAACACGGTGTATTGTTGATCAACCATAAGATATTTATAAAAAGTATTTAATGGTATATTAGTTACCTGTGTTAATAGGCATACACTGTGGATGTGATACTCCCTGGTATGGATTAACGTCCGCAAGAGTGAGTACTACGACTATTCGCAGTAGCCTACTATCCTGATAATTAGACCAATTCGTATATACCAAGGCAGAAATGTGGTTTGGATTCCACTATAAACTGTAGGTCCCTTAGTTGCCATTAGCTGTACTATTAATTAACAGCTGTTTCTAAGGATATGTCGGCCTTAGTCACTAACAAGACTAAAAGATCGCACCACTCATCCTACACTCATCTCCATTCATACTTGGCTTAAAATACTTTTGTATGGTCACCATTTCATTGAAAAGTATTAAAGTAATAAGTAAATCATGAAAAAACACGTCTAGCATATTTTTGTGTCGGTGTCGATATACAAATAAAATATATTACGTTTTTCAGCATTTTGTTGTTTTTGCATCACTTTGTTGTGTGTTGTAAATGAAACACGTGAGTGTAAATAAGTAAAACCTGAAATATTTTAAAATGTTTGTAGTATGCAAAAGAGTTTAAGTGTAAGTGTTGAACGGCACTTCAAATATACACCCTTCTTTAATTTACAATCTGTTTGTTTATTTTCTGTGACGATGTGGAATCATCATTGATACTGTATTTACAAATACCGAAGGTGATTTGTCAACAACGTTATAAGTGTAACAAACAGTTGTTTCGAATCGCTACGATATGTTTACAAAGCTTACAGCTACCAACGCTGTAAAACTGTTTAGTTGTCTCTCGACATTGCTAACATAACAAGGATTGTGCTAAACCACAGAAAATGGAATAAGTAGGCTTATATTTATTTTTTACATACTTTTATCAAATTTTTATCCATTACAAAAACGATTCATTAGAAGTCCAAACAATACTATCCAGTTGTAAACAAACAGTTATCGATATTTAAGTGATTATTTGTTTTAGCATTCACTTGCACAACAGATTAATCGTTTAATGGAAGTTTCGAGCAATATCGGCCATGAGAGACAATCAAACGTTTCCATCAGTTTAAGCTCAGCTGATGCTATTATCGCAGGATGGGACCGCTATTGTATATCGTGTATTGATGGATTCAATCAGTAGAGTGTTGAGAATTACATGATCATATTGTGTAGATCTTGTAGATTGTGGTGATTTTGCAATTTACAAACACAACTTTACAACAACGATTCGAATGATCTAAAGGCTTGTTTGCCTTCTTTTAGGAATAATTAAGTTTTTTGGAATAATTTGTTTACAAACAAGTGTTCTACTTTGATATTATACTTTGAAAGCATATAATTATCATAAAACAGTTTCAGTTGTCTGCAGTCATTGACTAAGATGCGCAGTTACACTGGTGAACAACATAATACTTAAATACAAACTAATGACTTGATTGTAACAAATTTGTCCAGTTTCCCTGATCTATTCATTGAGAAGATAAAGACAGTTTAGGTGAAGTAGTGTACAAAAATTGTTTACATACAGTACAGTAATAATTTTACTTTGGTAAATATAAAGCCGTCAGTATGCAAACATGTAACAATATTATATCATAAATAGCGTAACAATACAAACACATTTAAATTAGGCTACTTGTATGTACTAATCCCGTACAGTTTTACTGGAGTAAAGGATCTCGAATTTTACGAAATACATAACACAAGAATTCCTTCTTAGCTCCTCTTCACATGTCTGCTGGCAGTCCTCTCCCAATCTTAGGGCGGTTCCTTTCCTAAAGATGGTTGTCTTCTATTCTTAAGGTGTTTCCCCTCCTCATTTTAAGGTGGTACCTCTCCTAATCTTAGGGCGGTTCCTCTCGTAATCTTCATGTGGTTCCTCTCCTAATCTTAAGGTGGCACCTCTCCCAATCTTCAGGTGGTACCTCTCCTAGTCTTCAGGTGTTTCCTCTCCTGAAGGTGGATCCTCTTCTATTCTTAAGGTGGCACCTATCCTATCTTAAGATGGCACCTCTCCTAATCTTAAGGTGGCACCTCTCCTAATCTTAAGGTAGCTCCTCTCCTGAAGGTGGATCCTCTTCTATTCTTAAGGTGGCTCCTATCCTAATCTTAAGGTGGCACCTCTCTTAACCTTAAGATGGCACCTCTTGTCTTAAGGTGGTACCTCTCCCAATCTTAAGGTGGCTCATCTCCTAATCTAGACAGATTTATTCATGGGTTTAATATTAACTAGATTTAAAATTCATCTCACACCTATTACAATGATGTGTGTTACTAGAAGTATAGATAAGCAAGTGGTAAAAGCAACTACGCAGTGAAACTCTGCAAAGTCCGGAATTTACAACTCAATTACAACTCTTTATCTAAAGTCGCAAAAGACGGCAATTGAGATGCATATGAATCCATTGTCATAAGCGAGCTTCATTAAATATTAATGCATATTGTAATTAAATGATAAGGCGACTGACACCTGTTTTGTTCGCAGGGTTGCCGCTAGAGCGCTAGCAGTCGCCAGCTGAGCCGAGCCGAGAGCGACAGTCGAGGTCCGGCGTTCCTTGCGTCTACACGTGAAACAGCTGTTGTGTCGTGAACGCGTCGACTAACCTCAAACTTGTGTCGGGGTGATTGTTGTTGTGATGGAATTTGTGTAAGCCGTCATGGATTGCGGGGACAGTAAGGACTTCAAGGAGAGGACATTGAGGACCCTGAAGCAAGGATTGGGGCGCCTTTGGAAGCGAAGATCTGTCACCATAACGGAGTACGATCCGTCCTACAAGGTGGTCTACTTGGGCAACGTGCTTACAGGATGGGCTAAAGGTAAGGATTTGTTTTGTATGTTTAATTAATAGTTAGTTATATTGTCAGACTGTTTATCATTGTGTAAATGTTTCCATCCCTATCATTAGAGTAATTACTGACTACTGTACGTAACTGATCAAACTACCCAGAGAACACAGAATAACCACATTCAGCAATATTATTGAAGATCACTCAAATGATTCAAAACTGTAGAGTACAAAATTACTATATATCAATATCCTTAGCACCTCTCTAATCAATTATTAATGTTGCATAAAAGGAAATATGAGATAAGTTTATAATAAAAGATCAGAGGAACTCACTTCAAACGACCGCTAATTGGGGAGCGAATACCTAGATTGTTTGCAGTTCTGATAGAGTTAGTTCAGCGAGCGGAATCAACCTGTTGCTTTCAGTTTATCTCTATGGTTTGTTTAACTTAAAACTGAGGGAATTTGCTTTCAAAGTTTCAAGCGAAATATTTATTTAGATAAATCTGATTTTAGGCCTAAATAAACTTGTAATGGGTGCTATTTAGGAACTATTGTATGAAAAGTTCGTATAAAATAAACTAGCAAAGAGAAACGTTAAAATCAAAATGCACTTAGCCTATCTTATACCATGCTATAACGTACGTCGGTAATCAGATATAAAAAATTAAATTGTTCGGAAACTCATTTTAGTTTTCAAAGGATTGCACAACATTTTATTTGTTTGTCAATAGCACCAAGGACAATAATTTCCATCCCTTTGCAAAATTAAACTTTAACGATTCTATAACTTACAACTCTGTATTGTATTCGGTTGTATTGCCAATATTCAGAACAAATGCGATGTATCGTTATGATAACAAGAGTAATTAAACCTATTTAATAGTCAACACTATTGTTTTGTCTTTCGTGATGCGCAGAGGTTGACGACGGATGTAAAGCAGGTTGCTTATCATAGAACGTGTCCGTGCCTTATCACAAGGTCATACATGTTATAACTTCTTATCACACCTGCCTGTTGGCGCTTTTGTTCTCATCGCAGAAACTGACACAGCTGACACGCTGCACACGACGAAACCGCAAAAACTACTTTGGCAGAAAAGTTGTCAAAGATAATGATTAGGATTGATGTTATGTTTCTTTTAAACAAGCATTTTGCCTTCTCATCGTCACTCAAAGCATACAAAACAAATTCCATTTACCAAGTGGAAAGCCATTGGAAAATGTCTGATATTATTAAGCAAGCGTGTTTCTTGAAAACGTTTTTTCTAAACTATTGCGCATCGATGGGAAAATCTGTTAGAAAGATATTTTCCTGTAGATGTGCAGAATCCGTTTATAAACTAAAATAAGCACAAACAAAGAATTGAAAGAAAAAATAGCATGGGCCTTATGGATTATGCTGGCGACGAAGTAACAACGAAAAATAAACTGAAAATCGAAACTAAAGGAACAAAATACAATCACATGTTTTAAGTACAGCGTGAGGTGAAAATAGAGAAGTCTGTACATTACATGTTTTTGGTCGAGTTTTCGACCACTAAACCACCTCTAGTTTACAAACATTTAAAAAAAGATTGAAATTAGTTGACACTGGTTAGTGGATTCAAACCGACCGTTCTACCAACATCATTCTTGTTATAGTTCACAATATTACCCGGCTTGGAAAACTGTTTACCTACCTTAGCAGGAGTTCGATAAGAATTAGATTAACAGTGCGTCGTGCGTGCGCAAGCAAAATAGTCTTGAATGAAAATCTTTGTTATTGACACCTCGCTATCAGCTGTTGGTCCAGTTTCGCTAATATTCCGGGAAATCCGCTCTCTTTCATCACAAATCCGTCGTTAACGTCGGTGCAGGAAATTAGAATACTTTGTAACCTCGGGGAGACCGTCACTTCCGACAACCTCGAGACGGGCATTTTTACTGTTATTTCCATAGTGTTTCTGCATTTAATGATGCTTGAAGACTGCAAGAAAGGTATTCAGGGACGTTGCAATTGATCGGGATTTTGGGTGTGTATTAATTTGATTCATTATGCAATTACGAAAAATTGGTTAATTTTGCACGAGGTGGATCCACTTCTTTAAAAGAGGGAAAACTTCAATTGTTTTAAGAGTTATGAAAATGCCACTCAAGTTCTTTGACCATTCGGCACAGAAAACACAACAACAGACAGCACAGACAACATTAAAGTATTATATTGTCTGTGGTACTGTAGTAAGGCTTTGGTATACTTTGTTAACATTACTGAATCGACTGTTTCGATGTAATTTGTAATCTGTTGTTCAATCTCATACCTACATCCTTTCGTCACTAGCAATCGTTACCAAACCGATGTAAACAAAACTTAGGACCTAACGACTTTTGATGCCATCAGTGCTAAACGGAAATATGAAAATATTCAGTAGGGCAGAATCTTCGGATTAAATCATTACATTATTGCAGGTAGTTAATTTTAAATTCGTTAGATAACAACTATAAGATTGCTTTATGTAAAGGTTGATAATTTATTTGTATACTTTTAGCATGCCGCTGTTGTTGCGTTTAAGAGGTTAACAACATAAAAACCACCTCCTCGAATCGTATAAAATAATACTTATTGAAATGTGCAATAATCTTGATGTACTTCAACCAATATATTGTTTTATGCAGTTTAAAATAGATTACTTCGCTTCTAACTTGAAAATTACAAAACACAATATTGTGCCGCGAAAAAGACTGAATCCAAACTTGCCAACGCCAAGAATCCCAAAATAAACGTCTCTGTCTGGCTAAATATAGTTGTCGTTAGCGGCATATAATTCACTTAGTACATTAGCACAGTACATGTTAAAAGGAACACCTCACAGCGGGCGACCGGCGTGGCGGCGCGACACGACTAGAGAGGTTTTTGACCTATATCTTGTATATTTCCACACATGCATTCATGACGAGCTTAAATTATGCTTTATAATACGTAATTTTCCTTTTGTTACTATCTTAACCTATCAATAAACTGTAAAAAGCATAGGCCCTACGGACATTTCCAATGATAAAATTAGCCCTACACTACACATTGAAGATTTCTTGGTTTCCCTTGGAAATCCCTAATTCCCCTTCACAGGATCGCTAGATTTACATATTTTTGTTGTGTTGGTTTTTCATTGTTGGATTTAAACACACTTAAGGGCGAATAAGGATATGACATTATTTTATGATTAAAACCCCAAGGGCATTGGCCAATTATATAAGTTCCGAGGAGAAAACATAAGCTCCCAAAAGGATAATTGACCACCAAAATGTAGTAATGAATAAATTCTAGTGAAAGTAATATGTTTAAGTATCTATACTATATTGTAAGATAATTTTGTAAATGATTTGTATTTTTACAGTTCTAAATATGGAAATTGTTAATTAACCAATGTTGTTTAATTATCACACGATTTATTACAACTTAAGTGATGCATAAGGAGAATTGTTCCACTAGTATGACCAGAAAATAGACACGAAATTTACAATCAGTACCCTATCTGTTCAAATATAATTTTTACAAAACCATAAATACTGTACACCCACTTGAAAAACAAAAATTAAAAGATTCCTCATAGGAGAACATGTACGAGAACCAAATTAGCATGTTAGTTTAATTGGTATTTTGAACAAGTTTCAGAAAAAAAGCTTAACACTTAACAATCACGTTAACACTCAATATGTGGGTAGAAAAAATAATTATGAGGATACAACTGTTTGAATATCCTCCTTAACTTCTGCACTACACTTTTTACAACCTTAGTGTTTCGTTCAAGAAAATAGGTCGTTCACTAATCGTGTTTTAGACACGAAGTTATCGACTACAACACGTCGTCCCGTGTCGTGTTACACGCTACACGTCTACACGAACAAACTCGTGTTTGGGCTCAATACATGATATATTACCTACTGTATTTGCTGTATAGATGTATTGGATTCATCCACCCCTCCCCTCGTCATGACTAGGTAGACCTATTGTTGGAGTTAGATTTTATATTCTTTTATTGTGTTAATCGAAACTCGTTTATCCTCAATGATGGATTGTCGGATTAACGTTGTTGTGAAATGTTTTGCTATGTTTGGTAGTATGGGTTCTGGAAATGGTATAAACAGCTCGTTTTACTTGAAGGTGTTGTAGTGGTTTTGTGTGGCACAGTAGTAGTCAACTGACGACAATCGTTATTGAAAAACTTTTAAATTATTTATTTTGGGATTTACATTGAGCTCCGGGTGTTAATTTAGCTCTTTCGAATAATGCCTGATACTTGGCGAATACAAGACAAAATTCGAGAAAAACACAGTAGCACTATACTAAGGTGAAACACTATTTTACTCTTCATGAATAAGGGCATAGTTGTATTAAGTATGGGAAACGTAGGACCGCTAATCTCTAAAATGTGAGTAAAATTATTGATAAATTGTGTTTAGAGTACGAATAATTAAGCGAAAAACACCGTTCGAACATATTCTGTGTACATAGTTATAATTTAGTAGGCTATATGATTTGTTCATAATATTTGGATAACATTGTGTGAGTAAATTGACGAACTAACCCGATTCAACCATTTTACAAGTGATCATAGCAAGTTCAAAGTATTATAAAACAGTTTACGAAAATTGCGCTTTCCCATGGTACAAACACGGACGTTTTCAAGTTGTTCCACGAATTGCCACTCATGTACAGGTCATTGCAATACCCAACGCTATCAGAGATACGTCGTTACGACCATTTATTGACTGCGATTGCTTACGATTGCTAAATAACTTCCCCAGCCCCTCTCTATAACATGCATGCCGGGTGATATGAATGCACATGTCTCGTGGGTCCATTTGTATAATTACTGCTCTAGTTTCAACTATCATTAACGGCTTGATGAGAGATTCCACACTAGTCGTGTGTCAGGTTTGCATTTAGTTTGTGATGGAGGTTCAAAGTGATTAAAATATGATAATCACCAGGTTTAGTGGAATTTCCAATCCTTTATTTAAGGCATATAGGATTTTTTTTACAAATAA